GCCCGCCGCCCATTATTTATTTTCTACTCCAAAGAGGCTAAAGCGCAAAAAAGTTAGTTGACGTTGACCCTTGGGAAACTTTGTTTCAATAGTCGGGAAGCTCCCACACAAGTAAAGCCTATGCCAATAGGCATAGGCATATGCATAGCGCTATGGATTAAAGTGGACATAAAATCAATTGCCTTATCTTTTCCCACGTTTTAAATGCTCAACTGTCGCATGAATTAAAAAAAAAAAATACATCAAATGACAACAACAAAAAATGAATATAAAATAAAATCAAGCCATTGCTTTAGCATTACTTACGCACTTTGGCAACGACGTCCGCAACAACAACTACATTGGCAACAACAGCAGTCACAACAACAACAACAACAATAACAGCAATAATGTTATATGTATTTCAAACAGGTTCCAATCGCAGCTGGGCAGGTGTCTACGTCTACTTCGGGGTGTCAAATGGGCAAACAACCCAAACACATTTGGTTTTTGTGACTAAACATTGTCGCTGCAAAAGTGATAAAAACAGTTACAGTAAAAAATGCTTGAAATTGAATTGTTTGAGTTAAGTTTAGTTTCATGAAACTTGTGTGGGAGTTAGAACAACATGACTGCTTATGTTAAGGGTGTCTTTACTTTTAGTTTGCATTATTTTATTAAATGATTTTAATCGGTTGCTTTAAATTTGCAATTTTTTATCATATCTTTGTAATGTTTTTCAAACTATTCTCTTTTTCAAACTATTTTCTTTGATATTTTAAATTTGTGTGTACAAAATCAAAAATGATTATTTTATACAAAAAAGAAATTTGCGATGCATTTTAAAATATTTCTTAACATTAGACAAGACTAGCTTAATGACATACAATAGAAAACATAGAAATAATAGAAATTTTTATGAAAAACGAATAATATCAAATATACCAAAAAACACTTCATTAATGCTTCTTAAAGAGTGTATTCAATTTTCTTAATGGTTGATGTAGATAGTTGTTGGCAAAAAAAAATTTTTGTAAAAGACAATCCCTAAAGACATTATTTAAGCTTAGAAATTGTTGATGTAGCCAGTAGTATGCAAACAACAATCCTTTATAAAAGAGAATCAACCACATACGAGTATTCTGGCCGACTATTGCTGCTTTCCATCGTATACTCTTATACTCTTAGTGGAGTAAATTCCAAGTTCGCAATCAAATATCATGAATATTATTTGGAATATGTGGTTTGAGTTGTGCACGCAATACAGCTTAGATCATATATTTTCAGTACAGTGTTCATCATAAGCGATCACTACTTTATTAGAAAGCCCACAAGCAAGTGGCTGCCGTTCAATTCGAGCATTCAGACCGACAGCGGCGCATGAAGACGAAACGCCAGCCGCTAGATGAGGCAGGCACTCGACGCTACGTCTACATCAACATCCAACATCCAACATCCAGCATTCAACATTCAACATCTACATCTACTTACAGCCACATATCCACAACGTTGTTCACAGCCACTTGTTGCGACGCGCGTCTGTCATAAACGCATCTGTAATCTGTTGCTGTTGTTGTTATTACTTTTGTGGTTACTGTTGCTGTTGCTGTTGCTGTTGTTGATGTTGGTGTTGCCATCAATTCTGGTCGCCGTTTCTGTCGTCTCCTGGCTGCCTAGCTGCCTGTCGCCGGCGCCGTCTGTGCACAGAGCCTAGGCATAAATTATACACAATATGACATATTGCGGAAGTGATCAAGCAAGTGTTGCCATATGCAACAAGCATTCGACCAAAGTAGGTTAAAAGGATAACCCGCGCGTGCAAAAACAAATGATAATAAAAACTAAACGAAGCACCAGAAGGCAACAGCAGCTTCAACATCACCAGATCTTTGCTTTTGTCAAGTGGCACACTGACATGCTAATTTCTCGTTGTTGTTTACTTAATTTTTTTCTTTTCCATATTTGTGCCCACGAAAGTGGTACAAATGGATGTGCTGGGAGCGAATGCTAAGCCATGAGAGTGACATAAGGCTGATTGACATTTGACAGACGGTGGCTCGAGCCACACTTTTACTCTCACATGCGTGCGTACATATTTTTTCTGCCTTTTCGATTGCTGTTTTCAATTTTGCATAAAGAATGAAAACAGAAACATCGATACATACGACCATATAACAATTAATTGTGTGGCTGTGTGTGCGCGCAAGTGAATGTAAATGTCTCAATAGAAGGGGAAAAAATTACAAGAGCTTGAACGAATATTATTATACCAACAATGGGATCATTTATCAAACTATATTGGACTTAAAATGAATAACAATAATAACAATAAATGACAGATATAGCATCAGAGTGTACAAGCTTAAGTTATAAAGATATATACATATTTGAATTAAAGTGTGGCTACTGATATTGAATCGACTATAGAATGTAACTGACACGAGTCATCTACACTACACTTCTAGCGTTGGTTACAATATTCCATTGATCAAACGTATATTTCAATGAATACATTAAACGGTTATGCATATGTAAATCGATTTATTAAGAACTTTATCAAAAGCTATATCGAAAAAGTATCATAAAATATCTGCTAGTTGCAAAATAGATTAAGATTTGAACGCTGCCCAATAACTCGTATAAAATTCAATGCATTGTTTATAGAGCCATAACTATAGCGAAAAGTAAACTTGAATTATTTTAAATGTTTCCTAGTTGCTAAATAGATTAAGATACGACTACCGCGCAATAAATCGGGTATAATTCAATCAATTATTAGTAGCGCCTTTTTTAAAAGAGCTGTACTTCTGGTTTCACAATTTGCATCTGTCAATTTGGCAATGAATATCCGAATGTTTCATTTCGCTTAAACTATTTAAATCGGCTTCGAAAAAGTGTCAAAACTCATTTATGCAAACCATAAATCCGACAATCGAAACCATTAGCTTTGACATGTGCACAAGTGAATTCGAATGCGGCCCGATTTACGATTTAGTTACGAGTATGCAATAAAAGAGAAAATGGTTGCCATTGCAAAATTGTGGCGTGTGAAAAATGGAAAATGTTTTTCATGCTCCGAGCTGACGTGGCTTTGTTGACAACGACTCGGGCAGCGCGATTATGAAAGACGTCGCTTGGGTAAATCGTGTTCAGAATGTTGGCCAACGCTTCCTACTCAGCACTTACAGTGAAGAAGAAAAAAAATTGTGTTGCTTACCTTTTTGTGTTGCCGCTCCGTGCAGCATAAATAAATAAATAAATGAATAGTAGAAATGAAGTCGGAACCTCGACAATATTTTATCATTGAGCGCATATTTTGCGCTTGGTTTCTCTTGCGTAACAGCCGACAACTGAAACAAAATCAAAAACAAAATCAACAACAACAACAGCAACAGCAACTGAGTTTGCATCTTTGCGGCACTTTTCATTTAGGTATTGTAGATATATCAACGTTAGTTCAAGGCTATGAATTGCAAGCTGCCCAAACCCCAAAAAAGCCTCTCATTACCCATTTAACTCAGGGGCACATAAAGCGACCATGCCTCCAAAAATTCGTATCTCTTGCCGCTCCATTGAACAGCGAATTGAAAATTAAAACACAATTTCGGCTACCGTTTCGATGCTGTCTTTTAACGATCGCCAAATGTTGGGCACACAAGTCAAATATTATCGCTTAATTGAATCAACTGCAAAATTCCGAGTGCACAATAAAATTTCAACTAAATAGTAGCCAACTATTTATCCACGATAGCAAAAAGTGTACAAAATGCTGGCGAAATTAGCAAAAACCAAAAAAGAACTTCAACTAGGAAAATAAGCGCATGCTGCCACAAAAATTCAACCAAGCGCGAAGAACGACCTTGAACAAGTCGGACCGGCATATACAAATACAAATAATATATTAGCTGCTACATATATACATACATTTACATACATACTTGATGTACGGGTATGTACAAATGTATGTGTTTGTTCACATACCTATTTAGACGCCATGCCTATGTACAAGATTGCAAATTTCAGATACTGTTAAAAGCGCACATAAAAACGCGGCCGGCATTAGATACGCCTCACTGTATGTATCTAAGCATATTCGCAGATACCCATACACTCCAGCCAGCCAGCCGACGACGCTGCTAATTTGCTTTCAAAAGTGAAGTGCGCCGGCGCACAGCTCAGCGCACAATTAGTTCTACATAAAACAACAACAACAGCAGCTACAACAACAACAACATCAACATCTCAGGCAGCAGCGCTACAGGCATTAACGCGAAAATGAAAACTGAAAGTAACTATGAGATACTACTACGTAAGCTCTGCTGTCGCTTCAAGTTTTTGTGACTGGTCTCTGCTCTAAATTTGACTTTATGTATAAATTTCAGAGATTATTTACTAATTGTAGCGCAGTTATAAAGACATTCGGCTTCTGACACAATTTTTATAAATCACACGCTGCCAGAATTGTTCAAATTTTGTTAAATGCCTCTCTCGGATATGCACTTATTATTTTATGTTCAGACACCCAAATAAATGTATTCATACTATATATGAACTCGTATACTATACTATATGTGCCTTTCATGAACGGTCAGCTTTAATTTCATGTGAAAAGCGGTTTGAAAAGCCGTCATTGCTGTCGCTAATATCTATATTTTCCAATATCATAGCCTACATATCGTCGTATATTGATTCTCTTTGGCATTTGCGTTTAAACTTTAATCACTTTTGATAACGTTACTGCCGCTGTCGCCGCCCCTCCTTCCTCGAGGATGCTGTGAAGCATTGTCAGTTGACAGTATGCTATAATTTAGTTTCGTGTGGCTGACAATTTAATGTGCACGAGTGTATTGCAATTCACACAAATTGGAAATTTATTTAAATTATAAACCATGCTAAGCTCTGACCATTAAAGTCAGCAAAAGAAACACTTGTAAGCTTTGCAAATGATTACTCTGTAGAATTAACTAATCAGCTTGTATTGTCGTTATTAAAAATTAATATATTCTCTATTATAATTTCAGGTGAAAATTTGGTTCCAAAATCGCCGTTCAAAGTACAAAAAAATGATGAAAGCAGCACAAGGTCCAGGCGCAAACAGCGGTATGCCCTTGGGTGGCGGTGGACCCAATCCTGGTCAACATAGTCCAAATCAAATGCACAGCGGTAAGTAAATCAATTTTCATCACCTAGAATCAGCCCCATCCGATGGATTTATAAAAGTTTATGAACAGCTTTTATCGTTCAAACTAAAAAACATGTTCAACTTGGCTCAACTTGGTTTTAACATGCCTATCTATGTCTATTTGTCATTCTAGGCGGTAATAACGGCGGTGGCTCAAATAGTGGTTCCCCCTCACATTATCTACCTCCCGGACATAGTCCAACGCCATCAAGTACGCCTGTGTCTGAGTTATCACCTGGTAAGTAACACTGTGTATATTTTGTTAGACTACCATGACCAGAAAGGAGATCTCATTGATATATTACTAATTTTTCACTCAATCTTGTCTTCCAATTAGAATTTCCACCAACGGGTCTTAGTCCGCCAACGCAAGCGCCATGGGATCAGAAACCACATTGGATCGATCATAAGCCACCACAGCAAATGACACCACAACCACCTCATCCAGCGGCAGCAGCGCCACATCCGCAATCGCATCATCATAATCCGCCACCACAAATGGGCGGATATGTGCCCCAGTATTGGTATCAGCCCGAAACGAATCCATCGTTACTAACGTAAGTTGAATAACAGAAAATCAAATGCCTCTGCTGAGAGGTTGTTTTCGAATAGATTAAATGGAAAGTGGGTTCTTACCAGAAGAAATGCAAAGAAAACGTAACATTTAATCAAGGGATACACACTTTTCAAACCTGATTTTAAAATACTGCACCAATAATAACTAAACAAGCACTTTAAAATGAGTTGATAAACTTTCTTGGCTAATACTTCTAATATATAGGTATAATTTTTTATAATAAACTTATATTTTGGAATCTAAGTTTTTGTAATTTTTTTAACTATTCGATTCCGCTAAATTAGTTATAAACTAAATCGATTCCAGAACCAAAAGTTTTATTCTTTATACATTTATACGAACTTCAATTCTTTGTAAAACTGAAAATCCACCTATCAAGATAATAGTTATTTGCGGATTGATTAAAACCATTACTATATAGCATTTGAAATTAATCAAAAATTTCCTATTTCTTCACTTATATTCTTTCAGTGTTTGGCCGGCGGTCTAACAGCACCCGAATCAGTTGCCCCCGCCTTCGGCTGCATGGTCGCAACCGACGCAGGCCTACCAACCCCGATCCTGCGCCGAACTGCAGCATAATGAGACCGTTTTTTTAGACGGTGGTGGTGTGCCGGGGCACTGAGCACAATATCTTAGCCAATAATTCAAAGAGCTAGAGAAGATGTTTTGGCTTTTCGCATGTAAAACATTGTAAATTACTTATAATATAATAAAGTTATGCAACTAATAAAAGGGCGTTTTGTATATTTCAATAAATAAAGCATTACAATGTTTTAAATGTAGTTCTAAGTGAAACGTAAAAATCAACCTAAAACACATTCCTCAAGCATAAAACGTGTCCTTTATTTTATTTTATTTTATTTTTATTTGTAAACCTTAGCAAATTACACAATGTATAAATATGAGAAAGAATAAATAATAAAAATCATGAAATCAGCTGTTGATCTTAAGCCTTTCTTAGAGCCAGTCAAAGGTATTTAATATTTTTTGTTTATAATTTACCGCAACTCTTTGTATAAATGCAAATTAGCCACAAGCGAAAAATCAGTAAAAATCAGATCTCAACAGAACATTTTGCATATTATTTTATGTCACAACTGCACCGACACAAAAAGAAAACGACGACTAACAAATACACAAAAAAATAACAATTAAAAAAACAAGATGCATACTTTTTTTTGTAATGTGCAATATAATTTAATTTTCTTTTAAACATACATTTTAAAAAGGAAGCAACTGTTTTCAAGAGCTACTAAAAAATTACACACCATATACTTAGTAACAAAGTCATGCGGAAAATTGCTTTTTCAATTTCAAATGTACATTTTTGTAATATAAAAATTCGTTTAACCTAAGCTTAACTACGATTAACTGCTATATTTTAGAATTAAACACAAGTGCATAAAATGTAAATTAAAACGAAAACAATAAGTTTAATAAACAACAGATAAAATGCTTAATAAAAATTTATGTAGAACTTGCTGTAGTTGTAATGAAAATAGGGGTTAATAGAGTGTGTTTCTTTGTAGTTTAATTTATAAAATAAAATACAAAACAAAAGAAAATTATTTAATTTAAATTTACTTTCCATTGCATTGTAAACTATTAAACGTTAAAGTGAGAAACCAATACACAAATAATGTAAAATGTAAACCATTATACATACTTGTATGTATACATGTATGAGAAAAATATGTGCTAGCATTTAATTAATTAGTTTTTAATATAGAAAATGGCAACTACTTTATAAATAAATAAAAACAACAACAAACCATACACAAGAAACCATTTCAAATATGTAGTAATATTTGATATGAAGAAGAATAGTGAGCAAATAAATACAAAATAAACAGTAAACAATGGAAACAATTTAAGTTGTAGAGAGTGTCGTAATTTTTAAATGAAATCAAAACAAATGAACAAAAAATAAAAATTTAAAAAAAAAAAACACACACACACAAGAAAAATAATGAAATAAAATATGTATACACAAAAATATATCCCTGCAAGCTTTTACTTCAGCCCTCATTGAAAATTAGGCATCTGCGGACGGATTAACTGCGTTTTAAAGAGAGTGTGTGTGGATGCGTGTGTGTGTGCATTAAAAAGGACTTCAGCTCATAAATGCATTACATTACACTTGAAAAAGTTAAGTGGCATTTGTGCAGATGATAACGCCAACGCTGCCGACGGAAGGAAGCATAAAATCTGTTCCATTAATCATAAAGAATGCAACAGGATATGCTTGAGGCTGGCAGGCTTTCACACAAACACACCCACACACACACACACACCCATGGCAGCAGAGCTTGTTTCCATGAATGGTTCCATTATGTGCTTAAAGGCATATTTTTTATAACAATTCACACTTCAGCAAACACACATACACACACACAGAAACAAACACAGCTGTGGCAAGCAGGCCCTGCATTATCTACTTTTTGCCTTTATGGGTGGTTCGACAGGCGTTCTTTTGCCCGGGACTGAGACTCGATTCGTCGGCTCTGTCATTTGCACGCCTCATTTGTACGCTTTAATGATTATTTGCTGTTAATTAATTAGCACTGGATTCTTGCCACAACGCAAATGGTCAGACAGCCCGGAGGCCGAGTAAAACTGTAGGCAAAAGCAAGTGACAATGTTTTAAATATATATGCATACATACTACTATACAAGTATATAGATATTTGTATAGAAATCATTTAAAATGGAATTATAAATGTCCTTATTCACTCATTCATGTGGAGAGACCTCACAACTATTTTTCCAAGTTGTCAAAACAAAGAACGTTTTTATTTACCAATTTATTTTAAAGCTCTAATGGTACTTTTGGAAATAAAACATGAATCGGGCATGGTAATAAAAAAAACTTCAATTTAAACTTATCATACATAGCTAGCCGAAGGGCAAATAATGTTCCGGGTTGGAGGCGTTAATTAGATATTGTTGTAAATTGAATAGATTTCTCCCTTTTAGGCTTTTCTAGCTTATAAGATGCTTTTTATAATTTTTATATATTTTCCACCTATGTTGACAGTCAATGTTTGTTGACATAAATAAAATAAAAAAATTCATAGCAACATATTTTACCGTAATACAGTTTCGGCGGAGAATTTGATTATGAAAATCCAATAAATATCCAATCAATCTAATCAAAATGTCATCCTTTTCAAAAACTAATATAATATTTTATTTTGTTTATCTATCGAGATATTCGAATAAGCATAGAGACGGGCATGATGGTCGCAATTTAAATCGGTATGAAGTGTTGATTTCTAAGACATATCTGGTGTATTGAATAAAAAACTGTTTAATAATCTGCATACTCGTATTTGTCATAACTTTAATATTGATGCTCTTTACTGTTTTTGCCAAACATATTTGCGTAAGGAAATATAAGCAAATCAATTGTGAGTTTCGATTTCAATAATATTTTACCATTTTGATATAACAATCAACAGATCTTTAGCATATATGCACATACATTATGCTTTAATTTAAATCCACTCCATCCAATTCCTGTATCTGTTCTCACTCACTCAGAACTCAGTAAAGTGGAGCGAAGTCAATGACAGCGGAAACACAAAAACCGAACTAACAACCCACAGGCCTCAAATATTGTCTACTCCTACGGCCGAGCACCCTGCTGGGTTCTTCTCCCTTTTCTTTCTTTCTTTTTTGTTGTTGTTGTATTGCTCATTAAATCAACACCTTGATCGGACTATAGAAGTGCGGTGAAACGGCTTGATCTCCTGGAGTTGCTGCAGTTGTTGTTGGTGGTGCCGGCACAAATAACAATAACAATGGAAACTGGACAGATTTGTTGGCAAAATACAAGAATTTGGCTTGCTGACCAAACAAGGTGGCTGTGCCGAAAACTGTAGCACATCGAGGAACAGAGAATATCGGAGCAGACCTGCGCGACAACAACTGAGATAGCGACAGAGACAGAGACAGGAATAGGGACAGCGACTGAGACTAAGACTGAGACAGGCAGTAAATGTCGTGAAAGGATTTTTGCATTTGACTGTTTTTGCGATTTCAATTTAAAATTTAAACAAATATGCAGCGAGCGGCAAGGCAAAGGCAATGCCAAAGAATGCGTACATTCCGCAATCAAAAGGAAGCAACAGAGCCAAAGGACAGCTACCGCGTTACGCAGAGTGCACAGTGGGGCAAATGATGTGGCCAGACACAAACGCCTATACTTGTATGTACGTTTTAATTGATATTTTGCTAGTGAAGTAAATGCAGTTTTCCATAAAGCCTAAACAATAGCACATTTGTCTTTTGACACAACAAAGCTGCGAAATACCCAACCAGGCAGAGATGACTGCGACTGCTGTTGGGCTGCTGTTGTGTTGTCTTCATTGTTGTTGTGGCAACAACAGCAACAACACGTAAAAAACAAAAAAAATTATATATAAAAAAGCAAAATTCCCAGTGCAATTCTTCTGATGGAATTTGCACAAATGCCAATGTACGAGTAGCTGTGCCGGGACGGGGCACTTTGACTTTAAGTTGTGGCCGCGGCTCGCGACTCGCCACTCTCGATTCTCGGCTCTCGATTCTCGGCCTAGGCAAATGCAAAATGCTCTATGAATGAAATGGCCACTGGCTGTGGGGCAGCGAGGGGCAGGCAAATGGGCCTCTGTAAATTACTTGCTGTAGCTAGCGTGTTTACATAAATTAGTTGGAGCAGCAGCTCGAAACTGAAGGATCTGTACGTTGTTGTCGCCGAAGAGTCAACGTCACAAGAATTTTCCTCGTAAAAATGACGCATACCAAACTTAGACAGCACGGCGTATGGGGATGTGATGACTGTTGTTGTTGTTGTTGTTGTTGTTCTTGTCCATGCTCCGTTCCAAAACTCAACAAGGTTTGTGTCAACCGAACTGGCCGGCCGATCGGCCATACCAAATTGGTGTGTCCACAGCAAGAGCAGCGGGCGAAATACAATAAATAACGCGCAAAATAAAAAAAGATAAAAACTAAAAAAATATATATGTAAGTATAAAACAGACACACACACACACAGAACTGGTGAAGTTATTTGTGAAATTCATCCGTCAAAGTCGTTGCAACAGCTCAGCTGCAAGCTTGCTCAGACTCTGGGTCTTTAGCGGCCTACTGACGAGTCTTGGTGCAGAAGCTGGGCCGGCGTAAAACTTAAAAAGCGTTCCTTTCATGGCTGTGCCATTGTCTCTGGCTACTGGCTGCTGACTGCTGACTGCTGGCTACTGGTTATGCTGCCTTCCTGGGCTTCCAATGCTGTTGGCTGCGGCTGCTGCTGCATTCCTGCGCAACGTCCGCCTGGAATGATGAACGATGTGTCGCTGATGACCTGATCAAAGTGGAGCATCTGCACGCATATCGATTGCAGTGCAGTGAAGGACGCGCTCTATTCCTCTGCCCCCAGTATCAGGCTCCAACTCTGGCCCTGGCCCTGGCTCTGGCTCGGGCTCTGGCTGAGTCTCAAGCTCAGGCTGAGCTGAGCTGTGCTGCATATTTAAGGACATGACATTTTTTGTCGTGCTGTTTGCTAAAATAACTTTGTTAAGATTTTTGTAGCTCGCTTTTGGCTCTGGGAGTAGCAGTTGGAGTCGTCCTCGTCCTCCTCCTCCTCCTCGTCGTCAAAACGTTCACGAAACATTTTCGCTAAACGAAACTCGTCAAAGTCGATCGACCAAGAGAACAACCAGAGAAGACCACGTCCACATCGACAAAAGGACAAATTTGATGTGCCATGCTGGC